CGTCTAAGCCTTCCTTGCTTCCATCTGTTCAACTTCTTCCATCTAATGACTAACACTTCCATCATTAAACACTTCATCTGTTTCAACACTTCCATCTATTTCCAACTTGCTTCCATCAACTAACGCTTCGTCTGACCCCAACACTTCCATCTATTATTCAACACTTCATCTCAAACACTTCCATCTGTTATTATTCAACACTTCCATCAATATTAACCTTCCATCTATTCAACACTTCCATCTGTTATTCAACACTTCGTCTATTCAAACATAATCTCAGCCTTCAACATCGTGACCTTCAACCTTCCATCTAATATTCAACACTTCCACCTGGCTTGCTTCATCGGCCTTCAACACTTCCGTCTGGCCTTCAAACGCTTCCATCTGGCTTTCAACACTTCCATCTATTTATTCAACACTTCCATCTGACACTTCATCTATTCAACACTTCCATCTGTTCAACGCTTCCATCACAACACTTCATCTGGCCTTCAACGCTTCCATCTGTTAACACTTCATCTGGCCATTCAAACACTTCCATCTGTGTACCAACCTTCCATGTGGCCTTCCAACACTTCCATCTAATGACCAACACTTCACCTATTGCTTTACTTCATCTGTGTTCAAACCTTCGTCTAGCTTCTTCCTCTAGCCTTAACACTTCATCTGTTCAACACTTCCATCTGTTAACTTGCTTCCATCTGTTGACACTTCCATCTGTTAACCTTCCATCTGGCCTTCAACCTTCCGTCTATTCAACACTTCCATCTATTCAACACTTCCATCTATTCAACACTTCATCCTGTTCAAACACTTCCGTCAGCTTTCAACACTTCCATCTGGCCTTCAACATCACCGTCTGGCCTTCTAACACTTCACGTCTGGTATTCAACACTTTCCATCTGGCCTTCAACACTTCCATCTAGCCTTCAAACACTTCCATCTAGCCTTCAACACTTCCATCTAGCCTTCAACACTTCCATCTAGCCTTCAACACTTCCATCTAGCCTTCAACACTTCCATCTAGCCTTCAAACACTTCCATCTAGCCTTCATACTCACATGTCAAAAACTGTCATTGAAATTCCTACTGTATATTGATCACTGGGGAGAAATTATCCCTCTGTGACAAGAAAACTTAAGTGGTAGTAAATTATAGGGCTTGTGGTGGTGATAATGTGTGTGTTAAACTAAGGTTCCTGTGTGGTGGTGATTGGTGGTGATAATGCGTGTGTTAAACTAAGGTTCATGTGTGGTGGTGATTGGTGGTGATAATATGTGTGTTAAATTAAGATATTGTGTGGTGGTGATGAAGAATGTATTTTAATGTTAGTTTCCTATTCAATTATGTAGTTTCGAGTAATTTCTTGTTATTTTTCGTGTTTATTTGTTTGTTCTCGTTTTATCATCAAATTTCGTGCATTTTTCTTATTTATCAAGTAATTTTACCTCTTATGGTCCCTCGTGACGCTATCCTGACTTTATCTGTCTAGGACATTGACCCGGGGTGAGGCAGGTCTTACTCCAGGTCACATAGGTCACGTCGTCAGGAGGGTCATAGGTTCACGTTATCAGGAGGGTCATAGGTTCACGTCGTCAGGAGGGTCATAGGTTCACGTCAACAGGAGGGTCATAGGTCACATCGTCAGGAGGGTCATAGGTTCACGTCGTCAGGAGGGTCATAGTTCCTCAGGAGATTTTCGGTCACGTCATCAGGAGGGTCTCATAGCGGCAGGGGTGTTGGTGGTAGTAGTGGCAGTGGTAACAGCACAGTGACCAACTGTGTAAACTCATGCTCTGGACGGAGTGGGGAGGAGAGCAGAGGGGAAGGAAGGGAGAGGGAGGAGGGGAGAGTGGAAAGGAAGGGTTCACACAAGACAGAGGGAGGGTGGAAGGGAGAGAAGGGAGGAAGAGGAGGGGGAGTGGAAAGAGGGAGGGGGGGTGAGGAAGGGAAGAAGGACAGGGAGAGAAAGGGAAAACTGAAAGGTGGAAAGGTGTGGAGGAAGGGGGTGGGGAGGATGGAAGGGAGAGAAAAGAAGAGGAGGGAGAAAGAGGATCTGGAAAGAAACCATAGTTATTATTATATTCTTGACCGTGTGTCTGCAGCTCTATCTAATGCTCTTGGTCTAACTGATGGATTTTTATTTCCCGTTGAATTAGAATATTTCCTTGCTTTATGGTTGAAGTCTTAGTGTAATTTGGAAGCTATATGAGTCCGCGATGTTTATATTTGTAACTTTGATTAGAGAGAGAGAGAGTAGCGTGTGTCTGGACTCTGGGTGTAGTATTCAGATGGCCTCACACACACACACACATAGAGACTATTTGTTCACTAAGGGGGGGTACAGGAGGGGGAGGAGGAGGGAAAAGGAGAAAAGAATGAAGGAAGAGGATGGAGAGAAAAAATTATTGGTGGTAGTAGTAGTAGTAGTAGTAGTAGTAGTAGTAGTAGTAGTAGTAGTAGTAGTAATGAAAGTGTGCTGTAAGGGGAGGTTGGAAGCCATGGAAAAAATATTATTATTACTATTATTATTATTGTTATTATTATTATTAGTAGTAGTAGTAGCAGTAGTAGTAGTAGTAGTAGTAGTAGTAGTAGTAGTAGTAGTAGTAGTAGTAGTAGTAGTAGTAGTAGTAGCAGTAGCAGTAGTAGTAGCACCAGCAGTAGACTTGGACACAGTCATCACTCCTGCACCACCAACACTCGGGAAAGGTCATCTCAGGGAATCAAATATTGAATGTTAAACTTTGATGACGCCATGAGTCAATGTAAGTCCCTCACTTTCCTCTGACCTTTACCGAAACTTTTGGTCCCTCATTAAGCAAAGTTTTAATAATATCTGACCTTTAATGGAACTTTAGGCTGTGCTTGCAGGGTCTTAATGGGAAAACGCAAGCAATTAAAGTTTATTCCTACCATTTCTATTTGTCCATCCGTCCGTCTGTCTGTCTGTCTGTCGGTCTGAGAGAATGTTGCATTTAACTACTTAATCCCTTGAGTACAGCATCGTCGTACTCTAAGGGATTAAATCATCGTAATCAAGGGTTTAAGTTATGGGACTCGAGAAGTTTAAGTTTTTGTACTCAAGAGGTTAAGTTATCGTATTCAAGGGGTTAAGCTATGATACTCAAGGGGTTAAGTTATAGTACTCAAGGGGTTATATCACTGTATTCAGAGGATTAAGTTCACGTATTAAAGAGGGCATCTTATCGTACTCAAGGGGTTAAGTTATCGTACTCTCGAGATTTATTATCGTATTGAAGAGATTATCGTACTCAAGAGATTAAATTATCGTACTCAAGAGGTTAAATTATCGTACTCAAGAGGTTAAATTATCGTACTCAAGGGGTTAAATTATCGTACTCAAGAGGTTAAATTATCGTACTCAAGAGATTAAATTATCGTACTCAAGAGGTTAAATTATCGTACTCAAGAGGTTAAATTATCGTACTCAAGAGGTTAAGTTATAACATTGAAGGGATTAAATTATCGTACTCAAGAGGTTAAACTATCACATTCAAGTAGTTAAATTATTGTACTCAAGGGTTAAGTTATAACATTGAAGGGATTAAATTATCGTACTCAAGAGGTTAAGTTATCGTACTCAAGAGGTTAAATTATCGTACTAAAGAGGTTAAGTTATAACATTGAAGGAATTAAATTATCGTTCTCAAGAGGTTAAGTTATCGTACTCAAGAGGTTATTGTACTCAAGAGGCTATCGTACTCAAGGGTTAAGTTATCGTACTCAAGAGGTTTACATGAAAAAAAAACCCACATCGTACACCAGGTAGTCTCTTTATCACCATCAATCTCTCGTGTTGCATTTCCTGGTATCGAACCCTTGTCTCAGCGTTACCAACCGTGAACAAATACAAAATGTATCTCTCCTTGTCTCAGCGTTACCAACAAATAAACACAGAGTCGATACACGTATCTAACAGGTTCATCGTTGACCTTATGTGATTACTGTACATCAACAACTAAGGTCTTGTAACACGTAACAAGACTGGTAATTACTCTAGTCCGTCAGCCAATAGAATTAAGTAAAGATTAAATTCTCTGTTATGGTGTGTGAATGTTTTTCTGTGTGACCAATTGTAACACCAAGTAACACCTTTTAACACACTGTAACACCTTCTAACACCTCGTGACACTTGTAACACCTTGTAACACCTTGTAACACCTTGTAACACTTGTAACACCTTGTAACACCTTTTAACACACTGTAACACCTCGTAACACTTGTAACACTTGTAACACCTTGTAACACTTTTAACACCTTGTAACGCCTTGTAACACGTGCCGTAATGACCCAGGTAAAGTGATTCAGTGTATCGGGTCCGTGTCTCAGAAGTTACTGGTGAATCATAAACCTTTGTGTTTAATTCATTGTATACAGTGGGCCAGCATCGTACAGAAGCGGTTTAATTAATTGTACTCAAAGGGTTTAATTAATTGTACTCAAGGGGTTTAATTGTACTCAAGGGGTTTAATTAATTGTACTCAAGGTGGTTAATTCAATATACTCAAAGGTGTTAACTCATCATACTCAAAAGTTGTTAACTCATCATACTCAAAGGTTTAATTATATTCAAAAGCGTTAACTCATCATACTCAAAAGGTGTTAACTCATCATACTCAAAGGTTTAATTATATTCAAAGGTGTTAACTCATCATACTCAAAAGGTGTTAACTCATCATACTCAAAAGGTGTTAACTCATCATACTCAAAGGTTTAATTATATTCAAAGGTGTTAACTCATCATACTCAAAAGGTGTTAACTCATCATACTCAAAAGTTTAATTATATTCAAAAGTGTTAACTCATCATACTCAAAAGGTGTTAACTCATCATACTCAAAGGTTTAATTATATTCAAAGGTGTTGACTCATCATACTCAAAAAGTGTTAACTTATCATACTCAAAGGTTTAATTATATTCAAAGGTGTTAACTCATCATACTCAAAAGGCGTTAACGTCTCCTGTGTCTCCTACAGTGTGTGGTGGTGATGGACGGCCTAATGTGTGGTCTTGTCAACCCAGATGATGTGGAAGGTGGATCTAAGAACTTTACCTTTGACGGCTCCTACTTCATCGACTCCACCACCGAGGCTATCTACAACGATGTGACCTTCCCTTTGGTGGAGTAGGGAGGAGGGGGTGGGGAGGAGGGTGTGGGAGGAGGAGGAGGGGTGTGGGAGGGAGGAGGTGTGGGGGAGAGGGGGTGTGGGGGAAGAGGAGGAGGGTGAGGGGTAGGAGGGAGGAGGGGTGTGGGGAGGAGGAGGGTGTGGTGGGAGGAGGAGGGTGTGGGGAGGAGGAGGGGTGTGGGGGAGGAGGGGGTGTGAGGGTGGGAGGAGGAGGGGGTGTGGGGGAGGGGAGGGGGGGGTTAATGGGGAGGGTGATTGTGAAGGTGGTGGGGGGTGATTATTTTGGCTCATATTCGTGATTCTGTGACTATGATTCCTGTCTTATGATTATTTTCTACTAATGCTCTTCCTTGCCCTTACATTGCCCTGTCCTTTGCCCTAACATTGCCCTGCCCTTTGCCCTAACATTGCCCTGCCCTTTACCCTAACATTGCCCTACCCTTTGTCCTAACATTGCCCTACCCTTTGCCCTACCATTGCTCTTAACACTATCTTATCTCTTGCCCTTCCTTACACTACCCTTGCCCTTTGCCCATCATGACCCTTAACACCACAATGTCTCTTCCCCTAACCTAACACTACTTTGATCCTTGCCCTAACACTACACTTGCTCTTTGCCCTAATATTGCCCCTCTTCGTCCTATTCCCTAACACTACCTTGCCCTTTGACTATATATGCCCGTGTATCTTAACCTTAATGCCCACTTAGTGCCCTTTACCCTTACATGCCCTAATTGCCCACAGAGTGTGTTGGAAGGGTACAACGGGACGGTGTTTGCCTACGGCCAGACGGGATGTGGAAAATCCTTCACTATGCAAGGTGTGGCGGACCCTCCAACCCAGCGTGGTATTATCCCCAGGTTAGTTGTCTGTCTGTCTGTCTGTCTGTCTGTCTGTCTGTCTGTCTGTCTCTGTGTCTGTCTGTCTGCCTGTCTGTCTGTCTGTCTCTGTCTGTCTGTCTGTCTCTGTTTCTGTCTGTCAGTCTGTCTGTCTGTCTGTCTGTCTGTGTCTGTCTGTCTGTCTGCCTCTGTTTCCTGTCTGTCTGTCTGTATCTGTCTGTCTGTCTGTCTCTCTGTGTCTGTCTGTCTGTCTGCCTCTGTTTCTGTCTGTCTGTCTGTCTGTCTGTCTGTCTGTCTGTCTGTCTGTCTGTCTGTGTTTCTGTTTGTCTGTCTGTCTGTCTGTCTCGCTTTATCTGTCTATCTGTCTGCCAAACACTCTACATAACAACGACCCTAACAACCTAATTAACGACTTGCTTGGTGGTTCACGCATCATTTGTTTACGTTTTAAATCACCTTTACATTAAGTCTATACGTTATAGTTGTATTTCACTAGTCATATATGTACGTGTTGTATATACTGCTGCTCGTGCACAAGAGAGTATACTGAGGGTGTTTGTTCGGTAGGATGCAATTTAAATTAAAATAAATCATGTCATTTTAATTGCTTTTTATGTTTCGATTTTTAATTGTTATATTTATATACGCTTTTCACAATGATAATAATGATGATGATGATGATAATAGTAATAATAATAATAATAATAATAATAATAATAATAATAATAATAATAATAACAACAATACTCTTCTCAGCACACCATAATATTCAACCTCCTCTCTCTCTCTCACTCTCTCTCTCTCACTCTCTCTCTCTCTCTCTCACTCTCTCTCTCTCTCTCACTCACTCTCTCTCTCTCTCTCTCACTCACTCTCTCTCTCCTCTCCTAGGGCGTTTGAGCATATCTTTGAGGTGATCCAGACAACGGAGAACATGAAGTACCTGGTGTTGGCCTCCTACCTGGAGATCTACAACGAGGAGATCCGTGACCTCCTAGGGACAGACGTCAAGAAGAAGCTCGACCTTAAGGAACACCCGGATAAAGGCATCTATGTCCAGGGTGAGTAATAGATTAAGGTTAGGTTAGGGTTAGGTTAGGTTTGGTTAGGTTAGGTTGAGTTAGGTTTAGTTAGGTTGAGTTGGGTTTGGTTAAGGTTGGGATTGGGTTGGGTTGATTGGGTTTGGTTAGGTTTGGTTGGGATTGAAGGCTAGGTTGGGTTTGGTTAGGTTAAAGGTTAGGGTTAGGTTAGGTTTGGTTAGGTTAAGGTTAGGTTAGGTTTAGTTAGGTTAGGTTAGGTTAAAGTTAGGGTAAGTTCGGGTAAGATTAGGTTAGGTGTTTGAGGGTTATGGGTTGAGATGTAACACTTTAACCTGAACTGACCCAGAGTGATCTAGTGTACACAGGATGACCCAAACTTGTTCTTTTATGTGACTATTGAAGTTACTTACGATAACATGACTTACAAACACACTACTTATACTTTATATAACACAAGACGATAAGACACACACACACACACACACACACACACACACACACACACACACACACACACACACACACAGGCAAACAAATCCAGGACAAAAATCACCAAATGAATATTCATACACGCATAAATAATCGCACATGAACACTTGCACACAAAGGTATATACACATACGTGCGTACATACGGTACACATACTACATATACAGCACTGCAAATACACACACATACACATGATATTACATAAACACACATGCATAACACGCGTACATAAGCACATACACATACATACACGTACATGCATCCCACACACACGTACATATATACACATCTACATACATAAACATACACACACACACACACGACATACATTATATACACACCTATATACACGCACGCACATATCTATAAGGACACATATACATACACATACGACATACACACACCCCACACGCACGCACACACACACACACCACACACACACACACACACACACACACACACACACACACACACACACACACACACACAAATCCACACACACAACCATTGTAAAAATTATCAATAAGTTGTAATAGACCAGTGTATTCACCCCCAGTAAACACTAGTCCTTACACTGTCACTATGTTGAAATGCCCTGTAGTTTGAGCTTTTCCCCATCTAGTTATTATATATCTTATTTATATCACTTATGTTACTTGTATATTATCTGTAAATAGAAACTCAGTCCCCAATTATGTAACTGTATATTTTCATCCTTCTGACTGCCAAGCTCTTTCAATAAACCGTAATTATTATTATTATTATTTACACAGACATCTTTACCCCTTGTCTCTTTGTGCTGAGTAAAACAATCTGTCGTAGTGAAGGGGTTAGTGTACAGAGTTTATTAAAGCACAGAAAAACAAGTCATTAAAATGAACAATACAAGTCAGCCAGGTGAAGTAACTGCGTAGTGTTTTGTTAAAGGGGTTCCAGGAAGGACTTTATCTCTTGATCTTAATAAGTGTTTTATCTGATTATACGTGGTTGGTCCAGCACACACACACACACACACACACACACACACACACACACACACACACACACACACACACATATATTCATTCATACGTACTGTACAGACATATATATATACATACATACATACATACATACATACATACATACATGTACAATTACACATGATTGGTCTCACAAACATACTCTTACATAAACATACATATACGAATATATACATAAATGCACAATCTTACATACACACACACGCACATAATCACACATGTACAGATATACGTATATACATTGACTAATATACACATGTAGGTATACATACATTGAGCCATTTACACACACACACACACACACACACACACACACACACACACACACACACACACACACACACACACACACACCTCTCCCAAACTCTACACTCTCACCTCACTCAACCTCTCACCCCACCTTAACCCCCTCAATTCCCCCCACACTCTCACCCCCACCCACCTCTCACCCCCCACACTCAACCTCTCACCCCACCCACTTCTCACCCCACCAACCTCACCCCCACCCACTGCCCCCAGCACTTTCACCCACTCCACCTCTCACCCCCACACTCTCCCTCACTCCCCACTCCACCTCTCACCCCCACACTCTCCCTCACTCCCCACTCCACCTCTCACCCCCCTTCCCCCCCTCCCACTCCCAGCCACTGTGAGGGGGAGGGGGGGGGGAGTGGGTTGGCTGACATCCATTGATTATTTGCATTATTTAGTTCATAGTGCAACGAGGTGACGGTTGCAAGGTTCTTTAGCTGTAGTTAGCTGGAGTTAGCTGTCCCGGGCGGTAAAATATACCTTCTGCAGTAGTACTATATTGCTGCGGCAGTAGTAATATATACTTGTCGCAGTATTACTATATTGCTGCGGCAGTAGTACTAATTTGCTGCGGCAGTAGTACTATATTGCTGCGGCACTGGTACTATATACTTGTGGCAGTAATAGTGATGGAGGTGATGGTGGGATTAGGGGTTAAGGGCTGGTGGTTAAGGGTTGGTGGTTAAGGGCTGAGAAGTAAGGGCTGTGAGTTGAGGGCGGGTCGTGTTACAATATAGGTCTGCAATCATAGTGGCCCTGGAGGTAATAGTCCGTACACCTACTGGGCTCTGAACCTAGTCAATGTATGAGCCATGTATAATATATGTATCATTTATGTATCATCTATGTATAATCTATGTATGAGCCATGTATAAATCGCAGGTAATCCCGTCGGCAGGTAATCCCGTCGGCAGGTAATCCCTTTCGGCACAGGTGTGAACAGAAACCGAATAACGATAATTTAAAACTGAATAAAAATCGTTTTGTTTTATCTTTTATAACAGACAGACAGACAGACAGACAGACAGACAGACAGACAGACAGACAGACAGACAGACAGACAGACAAACAGAGAGACAGACATCAACCTTTACTAATAAAAACACCGACGACACGAGCCATAACACGTTCCTCGAGGCTCTACGCCAGACGAACATTCGCCAAACGTCTACCTTGAGAAGAGTTGGTGCGGTGGCAGGCTGGATAGAACATTCGTCTCCCATCCTTAAGGTCGTAGGTTCGAACTTAGGGTACATGTGAATAGGGACCTAAGTTTACCTTTGGGGGAATGAGGGTGATCAGGTACAGTGGTGATAAATACCTTTGTTTACACTGTTATATCGTACCACCCCTTAACGACCTTTGACGACCTTCAACGACCCTTGACAACCTTTAACGACCCTTATCGCCCTTTAACGACCCTTGACGACCCTTACCACCCTTTAACGATCCTTACCGCCCTTTAACGACCCTTGACGACCCTTACCACCCTTTAACGACCCTTACCGCCCTTTAACGACCCTTATCGCCCTTTAACGACCCTTATCGCCCTTTAACGACCCTTCGGCCATACCGCCCTTTAACGACCATACCGCCCGCTTTAACGACCCTTGCGCCGCTAACGACATTACCGCCTTCCTTTAACGGCCCTTATCGCCTTTAACGACCCTTGACGGCGCCACCACCGCTTTAACGACCACTTACCGCCTTCCCCCAACGACCATTTACCGCCCTTTAACGACCCTTACCGCCCTTTAACGGCCCACTTACCTACCCTTTAACGACCCTTACCGCGCCCTTTGCGGCCATACCGCCCTTTAACGACCATTACCGCCGCCCCGACACCACCTTTAACGACCCTTACCGCCCCTTGACGACCCTTACCACCCTTTAACGATCCTTACCGCCCTTTAACGACCCTTACCGCCCTTTAACGACCCTTACCGCCCCATACTGACTCAACATGCGGCCTACGAGACTACCTGAACATAGTGCGGCGCCTCACTGTCTCTGATACACCACGACTTAATAATTGATGGCTCCTCAAAGTTCACACCGGGATATAATGCAGGGAGAGACTGGTGGCATAAATCCAGGTTACGTAGCTGAGATGAGGAGACTGAGGGAGGAGTTATGTTCGTTCTCTCTCTCTCTCTCTCTCTCTCTCTCTCTCTCTCTCTCTCTCTCTCTCTCTCTTTCTCTCAGGGTTACAAGATCAAGATCAAGGTTCAGTTCAGAGGGTCATATATCGCCAGGATCTCTGAATAATATAGTACAGTGCAGCATAATACAGCACAATACAACACAATACAGCTCAATACAGCATAATACAACACAATACAACACAATACAGCTCAATACAGCACAATGCAGCACAATACATCATGATACAGAACAATACAACTCAATACAGCACAGTACAGTACAACACACTAGAACACAATAGAACACAATACAGCATAATACAGCACAATACAGTACATTTAAGTCTACACACATAAAGTACTTTAAATACAACTTTATCTTGGACACGACCCGTAACTATTGGTTGATGTTGGCGTGTATAACGGGAGTGGTGATTTGGTGACTTGGTTCTCTGTCTGTCTGTCTGTCTGTCTCTCTCTCTTTTCTGTCTGTCTGTCTGTCTGTCTGTCTGTCTGTCTGTCTGTCTCTCTCTCTCTCTCTTCCTCTTGTCTTCTCTCCTTCCCTCACCTTATCATCTCTCTCTCTCTTCTTCCTTTTCTCCCTCACATCCACAATCTTTCTCTCTCCCCTCTCTCATCTCCCCTCACACCCCACATCTTTCTCTCCCCTCCTCTCTCACCTCCCTCACCCCACCTCTTTCTCTCCCTCCCTCTCTCACCTCCCCTCACACCACAATCTTTCTCTCTCCCTCCCTCTCTCACCTCCCTCCACACCCACAATCTTTCTCTCCTCCCTCTCTCATCTCCCTCACACCCCACAATCTTTCTCTCCCTCCCTCTCTCACCTCCCTCACATCCACACAATCTTTCTCTCCTCCTCTCTCTCACCTCCTCACACCCACAATCTCGTCTCCTCACCATCCCTCTCATATCCTCCCCCAGGCCTCTCACAACACCCGGTCCATAACACCAGCGAGGTGGGAGGACCTAATGGATCGAGGCTGGAAGAACCGGTCCACTGGTTCTACCCTGATGAACGCCGACTCCTCCCGCTCCCACTCCATCTTCACCATCACGTTGGAGATGATGGAGATTGCTGGAGACTCAGACTCCATTAGGAGCGGCAAGCTGAACCTGGTGGATCTGGCCGGCTCTGAGCGTCAAGCCAAAACAGGTGAGGTGGTGGTGATGGTGGTGGTGGTGGTGGTGGTGGTGTGTGGTGGTGGTGGTGGTGGTGGTGGTGGTGGTAGTGGTGTGGTGGTGTAGTGGTGGGGTGGTGGTGGTGGTGGTGGTGGTGGTAGTGGTGGTGGTGTGGTGGTGGTGGTGTGGTGGTGTGGTACTGTTACCTATATGTTGCCAACTAATACTAATTTCACTACTAATACTACAATAATAATAATAATATAATAATAATAATAATAATAATAATAATAATAATAATAATAATAATAATAATAATAATAATAATACCAGTAAAATTAAACAATAATTATAATTAGAATCATACTTATAAAACTCTCTCTCTCCTCCCTCCCTCTCACTTCAAATCTCCTCTCTCCAAATCCTCCTCCTACCACTCAAAACCTTCCTCTCACACTCAAAATTCCTCTCCTCTCTCATACTCCAACTCGCCCCCCCCCTCACCTGCTTCACCGCCACCCTCAGGAGCGACGGGGACAGACTGAAGGAAGCGACCAAGATCAACCTCTCCCTGAGCGCCCTGGGTAACGTCATCTCAGCGCTGGTGGACGGCAAGAGTAAACACATCCCTTACAGAGACTCCAAGCTCACCAGACTACTACAGGTAAGTGAGTCCAAAACACCTGTGGTGATTTATAACTTACCTGATGTAACCTAACTTAACCTAAACTGATCTAAATTAACCTAACTTAGTCTGTTCTTAACCTAACCTAACCTAGCCTAGTCTAAATTAACTTGACCTTAACTTAACCTAGTCTGTTCTTAACCTAACCTAACCTAGCCTAGTCTAAATTAACTTGACCTTAACTTAACCTAGTCTGTTCTTAACCTAACCTAACCTAACCTAGTCTAAATTAACTTGACCTTAACTTAACCTAGTCTGTTTCGCCTAACCTAACCTAGCCTAGTCTAAATTAACTTGACCTAACCAACCTAGTCTGTTTCTTAACCCTACCTAACCTAGCCTAAATTAACTTGCCTTAACTTAACCTAGTCTGTTCTTAACCTAATCTAACCTAGCCTAGTCTAAATTAACTTGACCTTAACTTAACCTAGTCTGTTCTTGAACCTAACCTAACTACCTAGTCTAAATTAACGACCTTAACTAACTTTAGTCTGTTCTTAACCCTAACCTAACCTAACCTAGCCTAGTCTAAATTAACTTGACCTTAACTTAACCTAGTCTGTTCTGAACCTAACCTAACCTAACCTAGTCTAAATTAACTTGACCTTAACTTAACCTAGTCTGTTCTTAACCTAATCTAACCTAACTTAACCTAACCAATTGGGGTCCTTTCGTCGATAGGACTCCTTGAGGTTTTACGCTGTCAGGATACTTTGTTATAGATCCTATCGATAATCCTTCCTTGAAATCCTATGTTAGTATATCCTGACGATGTTCAAAGTCCTTCCTTCCTTCCTGCCTTCGTGTAATGATAGGTTGTGCGTCCTTATGCTTGCAGGACTTTTGTATAGAGATCCTGTTAGATAGATAGATAGATAGATACATACATACATACATACATAAAGAGAGAGTTACATACATACATACATACATAGGTAGATATAGATAAAAAAATAGGTACTTAGATATATAGATAAACAGAGATCAATTGTTTACATACCCAAACACACTCTAAATAAACTCCTTCTCTCCCCGCCTCCAGGACTCACTAGGAGGCAACACCAAGACCCTAATGGTAGCTTGTCTTAGCCCCGCCGACAACAACTACGACGAGACCCTCAGTACTCTCCGCTATGCCAACCGTGCCAAAAACATTAAGAATAAACCTAAGATTAACGAAGATCCTAAAGACGCCATGTTGAGGGAATACCAGGAGGAGATACGGAAACTTAAAGATATGCTGGATAAACAAGGACCCCAGGAGACCAGTGAGTATAGGAGATATAGGAGATATTGTTTATGTACTGGAGATAGTTTGGTGAGAGTTGGTTAGTCTTAAAGGGTTAAAGGGGTATTTTTTTTTAACCCTTTGAGGATGATGGTTTTAGTTGTTATTTTCAAGGGGTTAAATGGTTAGTCTTGAAGGGTTAAAGGGTTATTTTTTAACCCTTTGAGGATGATGGTTTTAAGTTGTTATCCTCAAGGGGTTAAATGGTCATCCTCGAAGGGTTAATGAGAAGTTCTATAACCCCACGAGGACGATGGTTTAAGTCATACTCGAAGGGTTAAGGATATTGCTTTAACCCTTTGAGGATGAACTTTCTACCTCGAGGATGACACCTTAAACCATGGTCCTTGAAAGGTGGATCTTGATTATTGCAGGACGAGAAGGGATTGCAGGTTGCAGATTACTCTAAACTTCTAAAGGTACAGGTCACTCTGGAGGTACAGGTCACTTTAAAGGTACAGGTCACTCTGGAGTGCAAGGTCACTATAGAGTACAGGTCACTCATATAAAAGAAATTTTGTTGTCTGTTATGTGTGTGGTTTTAGGGGAGTGAGGGGGGAGGTGGGAGGAAAAGGGGGAGGGGAGAATTTGAGGGGAGGGGGCACCTCACTCACAGTACCTAACCTAACCGAATCAGTACTAATCAAGTGGCCAATCTAATCTGACCTGACCTAACCTAACCTAACCTAATTTAACCTAATTTAACATAACTTAAGCTTAATCAGACTAACTTAAACTAATTGAATCTAACCTAATCATACCTAAATAACTTTAACCTAATTAAACCTAAACTAATTAATCCTAATCGGCCTAAACTAGCTTAATCTAACCTAACCCTTCTTAAATTAATCCAGTTAATCTAGCTTAACCTAACCAAACTTAATCCTACACTAACCTATCCTAGTCTAATCCAAGCAAAGGCTAATCTTATCAAACCTAACCTAACCTAACCTAACCCAAGACTATTATTAAACCATAGTCTTACTGGGCCCTCGTCCTAAGGGTTATAAGACAGAACAAGGGGCCCATTAGGACACTTTAGAACAAGGGGCCCATTAGGACACTTTAGAACAAGGGGCCCATTAGGACACTTTAGAACAAGGGGCCCATTAGGACACTTAGAACAAGGGGCCCATTAGGACACTTTAGAACAAGGGGCCCATTAGGACACTTTAGAACAAGGGGCCCATTAGGACACTTTAGAACAAGGGGCCCATTAGGACCTTTTAGGTACAGTTGGGTTGGGTGTGTTAGGCTAGGGTTCAAGTCTAATGGTATGATGAGGTTAGGTGTTGGGGCCCTAGACTGGGGCCCATTCACCACACTCACTATCCCGCGGTGGTGTGAGGCCGGATGACTCGTGGGGACGCTAGGTTAGTGTGGTCTGGCTTATATAACGTAAATATTGGCGCTAACACAAGTCACGTAAGCGAGGCAGGGAATGACCTCAAATAGCGTGACAGAGAGAGAGGAAGTATATTTAAATAAACTTGTGGAATATAAAATGTGATAAATGAAATAGATTACAGATTATGTTTCCAAAGCAACAATAGAGAAATGAGATAGATTTTTTTAGATAAGCTTGAAATATAGAGTGAATAGATGAAATAGATTGTAGGTATATTTCTCCGGCTTCAAGTGACGCAGCATTTAAGTAATTGGGGAATATATTTTTTAGGGTTGGCTGTTGAGTTGTAATTACAGGTATAAACTTGGGTACAGTAATGGAGGAGGAGGTGGGAGGGAGGGAGGGAGGAGGTGGGAGGAGGAGGAGGTGGGAATAGGAGAGAGGAAGGAGGTGGAAGGTGGAGGGAAGGGGGAGAGGAGGTGGGAGGTGGATGAAGGAGAGGGGGAACGAGGAGGGTGAGGGGTGAGGGTGAGGGGTGGTGGGGAGGAGAGGTGGAGAGAGTGGGTAGATGGTGCCTAAGTTCTAATCGACCCCAAATCCATCGAATCTATTAGGATTGGGACCCAGTTTTAACGGTCCCAGTTATAAGGAGCCCTTTAGTCATGATGGCCCTTAGTTCTAATAGCCCCAGTCTAGGCGGCCCTCAATTTTAATGGGCCCCAGTCCAGGTAGCCATCAATTATAATGGGCCCCAGTCCGGGTGGCCATCAATTCTAATGGGCCCCAGTCCAGGTGGCCATCAATTCTAATAGCCCCAGTCCAGGAGCATCAATCTTAAAGGGCCCCAGTCAGGTGGCCATCAATTCTAATGGGCCCAATCCAGGTGGCCATCAATCTTAAGGCCCCCCAGTCAGGTGGCCATCAATCCTAATGGGCCCCAGTCCGGGTGGCTATCAATCCAAATGGGCCCCAGTCCAGGTGGCTATCAATCCAGGCCCCAGTCCAGGTGGCTATCAATCAAATGGGCCCCAGTCCAGGTGGCTATCAATCCAAATGGGCCCCGGTCAGGTGGCCATCAATCCTAATGGGCCCCAGTCAGGTGGCTATCAATCAAATGGGCCCCAGTCCAGGTGGCCATCAATCTAATGGGCCCCAGTCAGGTGGCTATCAATCCAAATGGGCCCCATGTCAGGTGGCTATCAATCAAATGGGCCCCAGTCCAGGTGGCTATCAATAAATGGGCCCAGTCAGGTGACTATCAATCCAAATGGGCCCCAGTCAGGTGGCTATCAATCAAATGGGCCCCAATCAGATGGCCCTAGTTCTAGCTGACCGCAGCCTTGTGACACCAATTCCAAGGTTACGTCTGTGGTTGGGGCCTGCATATACAGGGCTTATGTGACCTACAACCGTGAATGTCGGTGAAGAGAATGCCCAAATTTGAGTTCCTCGCCAAGTGCTTGAAGGGACCAACTCAGTCAGGATTTGTTATAGTGTCGTCCTCTGATTCCTGCGTTTCATTATGTATTGTTGTATTGATCGTGTGTGGTGTGTGTGTGTGTGTGTGTGTGTGTGTGTGTGTGTGTGTGTGTGTGTGTGTGTGTGTGTGTGTGTGTGTGTGTGATCACGGGACCAGCGTTTCATGTTTGTTTCCTCCCATGACGTCTGTTTCTCATGTTCAACACACTACGTTAGAGGTCACCTGACAGACACCCACCTGGTTCTAACAGGCCCTAACACCAGACTAACCTATGTATTGGTATTGCGCCTTATCCTTAATGATCTCGGTCCCAATAGGCCCCAGTCTTAATGAACCCTAAGTATTATTGTGGGCCCCCTAGTATTATTGGGGCCCCTAGTATTATTGTGGGTCCTAGTATTAATGTGGGCCCCCTAGTATTATTGTGGGCCCCTAGTATTATTGGGGCCCTATGTATTGTGGGCCCCTAGTATTGTTTGGACCCCTAGTATTATTGTGGGCCCTAGTAGTATTGTGTGGGCCTAGTATTGTTGTGGGCCTCTAGTATTATTGGCCCCTAGTATTATTGTGGACCTCCTAGTACTATTTGGACCCTATTATTATTGTGGGCCCTATTATTGTGGACCCCTAGTATTGGGCCCTCTGTAGTATTAGGCCCTAGTATTATTGTGGGCCCCCTAATATTATGTATTTCCTAGTATTGTGGGGCCTCTGGTATTGTTGTGGCCCCTAATTATTGTGTGGGCCTCTAGTATTATTGGGCCCCTATTGTGTGGGCCCTAGTATTATTGGACCTCTGGATTGTTTTGGACCCTAGTATTGTGGGCCCCTATTGTGTGTGGACCCCTAGTATTGGGGGCCTCTGGTATTATGTGGGCTAGTATTGTTGTGGGCCCTAGTATGATTGGGCCCCTAGTATATTATTGGGCCCCTAGTATTGTGTGGGCCCCCTAGTATTATTGGGGCCTCTAGTATTATTGTGGGCCCCTTAGTGTATTGTTGGGCCCTAAGTATTATTGTGGGCCCTAGTATTGTGGGCCCCTAGTATTGTGTGGGCCCTAGTGATTGTGGGCAGTATTGTGGGGGCCCTAGTATTCTGGGCCCCTATGTGTGTGGGCCTAGTATTGTGTGGGCCCCCTAGTATTGTGGGGCCCTCTGTATTGGTGTGGGCCTAGTAATATTGGGCCCCTAGTATGTGTGGGCCTAGTATTGTTGGTGGCTAGTTTGTGTGGGCCTTATTTGGACCCTAGTATTTATAGGCCGACAATAGGGGGCCCCTATTGTGGGGGCCCCATCTGGCGTAATTTTTAATGTGTGTGTGGGTTGGGGCTCTTGGTTGGCTGGGGTTACACCTGACCTGCTTTACCTGCCACCTGACCTACTTTTGCACCTGACCTGCTTTATCAGCCACTGACTTGCTTTACCTGCCACCTGACCACTTTGCCTCTTGCCTGTCACTACTTTATCAGCCACCTGACTTACTTTACCTGATCTGACCTACTTTACCTGCCACCTGACCTCACTTTGCAGCCACCTGACCTACTTCCTGCTACTATCTGCTTTACCTGCACCTGACCTACTTCTCACAATACTTTACCTGCCAACTGACCTACTTTACCTGCCTGACCCTTCCTGCCACCTGACCTACTTTCTGCAACCTCTTACTGCCACCTGACCCTTCCTGCCACCTGACCTACTTTACACACCTGACCTATCACACCTGCCACTGACCCTCTTCCTGCCACTGACCTACTTACCTGCCACCTGACCTACCCTGCCACCTGACCCTTTACCTGCCACAGCCTGCTTACCCCTGCCACCTGACCTACTTTATAGCCACCTGACCCTCTGCCTGCCACCTGACCTACTTTACCTGCCACCTGACCTACTTTACCTGCCACCTGACCTGCTTTGCCACCCCACTTCCTTTCCTGCCACTGACTTTGCACTCCACCTGACCTCACCTTTGCCACCTGACCTCCTTACTATGCCTGTCACCTGACCAACTTTACCTGCTGCACCGACTGTACTTTACTGCCACCTGACCCTCATTTACCAGCCACCTGACCCTTCCTGTCCACCTGAGCCTACTTACCTGCCACACCGCCTCACCTGACCTCCCACCTGTACTGTCCATGCACTTTTCATCCTCCAAGAGAATGGGTCGTGGGCCGTGCAGTAAACAGCAGGGTTGGTCTCCCCTCCCTCCTCCTAAGTGATGCTTGGTGCTTTGATGTCGCTGGCCTAGTGAGGCCTCAGTATGTGGCCTAGTTGCAGGAGCCTCAGTACATCAGCCTCAGTGGCTGGCAGTACAATAGGCCTAGTACAGCTGGTTCAGTACATCAGGATTAGTACAACAGGCTCAGTACAATAGGTCTAGTACAGGAACCTCAGTACATCAGGCCTAGTACGGAAACCTCCTGCACGTCTGTGTCAGGCCTAGTGCAAGATCTTAATACATGAAGCTTCCCCAAGGGCTCTGACGGGCCTATTGTCTTCTGTACGTTTGTTTCTTTTTTCCTAAAGATGTTTCCGACTTGGCTCTGGGACGTGTGGTGTTAAAAGAACTAAGTTGTCGACACACTCACTCTTCCTCTGACTGATAACGTGAAATAAAATGAAAAAACTGGGAAATAATAGATGTGGTCAGCAATTTTTTCTTTTTTTTCGGATTTTTGTTTGAGTTATTTTGATGTGATTGTTTTAAAATCACGTTATTTGTAGTGATTTAAATTAATGTCATGTTTATTGTAGCCCTTCTGAACCTTGTCAACATTTATTGCATTCAACCTCTTGAGTCACAATGCATTAACCTTTAGCGTATGATTCCTCAGGTTCCTTTACTGATAATGTACTCAAGGGATTTAAATCATAATATTACAAGGGATTAAGTCATTGTACTTTAAAGGATTATATATATATATATATATATATATATATAAATCTGCAACATTATACTTATATAAACTGCTTCCCTTCCAATCTGTAATCTCAAATCTCAAATTACCTTTGAGATTCATTAGTTGAATTATTATTATTAATCTATAATTCATCATTGACTTTTTTAGAGTTTTGAACAGGTAATTAATTAATACCTATAACACCTGCAACTCTAAGCCCTCACATGTTTAAACCTGAATCTATTAATCATTAAAATTCACATTACTATTTTTTGTAATATTTCCTTCAGTGTTGAAGTTTATCTTAATGTAGTTTTTTTTTATCGGCTAAATATAAGCGCCTGTTTACTTTTAAAATTTAAATTAGATTTGATTAATTAGTTTATTTTTTATTGTATGCAGCAGAGGCCTGGTTCTTTCTCCTGTAGTGATGTAGAAGATTCTGATCTGTGTGTGTTTGCGTGTAATGTTAATGATAATATTAGTAATGTGTGTGTTGAAAGCAGAAGAGGACAGACATTTACAAAGAAAAGAAAAACTTACAAGGTGGGGACACACAGAAACTCTGGTAACCGAAACACATTTAGTTTATTCTCTCCTCTTTTTGCCTCCTCCTCCTCCTTCCTCCTACAGCAGTCTCAGATCTGCGGCCACTCGGCCCTGCTACCTCCTGTGTAGTGTCTCAACCATGACCACCTTTTCCCTCCTGCAGGTCCTCCCTCCTTGAGTAGTCCTCCCTTCTGTAGTAGTCCCTTCCTCTTAAGTAGTCCTCCCTCCTGCAGTGGTCCTCCCTCCTGCAGTAGTCCTTCCTCCTGCAGTAGTGCCTCCCTCCTGCAGTATTCCTCCCCTCCCTCCAGTAGTCCTCCTCCTGCAGTAGCCTTCCTCCTGCAGTAGTGTCCAAACTCGACCTCCTTGCAGCACCTCCTCCTCCTGCAGTAGTCCTCCCTCCTGCAGTGGTCCCTTCCTCCTGCAGTAGTCCCTCCTCCCGTAGTCCCTCCCTCCTGCAGTAGTCGCTTCCTCCTGCAGTAGTCCCTTCCTCCTGCAGTAGTGCCTTCTGCTCTGCAGTGCCTCCCTCCTGCAGTAGTGCCTCCCTCCTCTGCAGTAGTCCCTCCTCTGCAGTAGCCTCTGCAATGCAGTCCCTCCCTCCTGCAGTAGTCCCTCCCTCCTGCAGTAGTGCCTCCCTCCTGCAGTAGTCCTCCTCCTGCAGTGGTCCCTCCCTCCTGCAGTAGTCCTTCCTCCTGCAGTGTCCTCTTTCCTGCAGTAGTCCTTCCCTCCTGCAGTAGTCCCCTCCCTCTCGTAGTCCTCCTCCTGCAGTTGATACCTCCCTCCTGCAGTAGTGCCTCCTCCTGCAGTAGTCCTCCTCCTGCAGTAGTCCCTTCCTCCTGGTGCGTTCCTCCTGCAGTAGTGCCTCCCTCCTGCAGTAGTGATCCTCCTCCTGCAGTGGTGTCTCGAACTACCACAACAACCTTAACCACCTGCCCCTCCTGCAGTATTGTCCGTCAGACGAGTCGGTACTGAGGAGCGGGGAAAAGGTGAGGCTGGAGTACAGGGCTGGGTCTCAAGATGAAGGAGGACATGGGCGGGCAGCATAACAACGCCCTCCTTCAGGCTAACATGGAGAACCTGAAGAAACAGTACGAGCAGCAGGTCAACGACATAGGCAAGGTGAGGGAGGGGAGGTGAGGGGAGGGAGTGAGGATAGATGTGAGGGGGGTGGTGTAGGGTGGGAGTAGTATGAGAGGTGAGGGTGGGGAGTGTGGTGAGGTGAGGGCAGGTATGATGGGTGGTGGGTATGTGGTGGGGTGAGGGGTGGGTATGGGGTGAGGTGAGGGTGGGTGTGAGGTGGTGGGTGTGGAGGTTAGGTGGTGAGATGGTGTGTGGTGGGGTGAGGGCAGGTATGATGGGTGGTGGGGGTGGGGTGAGGTATGGTGAGGTGAGGTGGGTATGAGGTGGGGTGAGGAGGTGTGGTGGGAGGTGGAGTGTGGGGTGAGGTGGTAGGTGTGAGGGTGAGGGTTGAGGGGGTGAGGGTGTGTGGGGTGGGGTGGGTGTGGTGGTGAGGAGTGGGTGTGGGGTGGGACTCTTAACCACAAGGGCTCTCATGCACGGGTGCAGGACTGGGGTTGGATAACCAGCAGCAGCAGACACACCAGCAGCAGGCGAAGGCAGCAGGCGCAGCATCAGACGCAGCAGCAGACGCATGGCAGGCAGTAGGCAGCATCAGACGCATTCAGCAGTTCGAGTACGGGGACGACTTTGAGGGACATCGGGGCGGAGAATTGACCTGGGGACGGACGATGCGAGGGCCTGGTAGGCTTCGTGAAGACGGGAGGAGTTTGTGGAAGGCACTAGTGACTCCCAGAGGACGAATAACACCTTGGCGGGGACCAGTGTACAGGGGTGTGTAGTGTTGGCTCTTGTGTGGTGTGGTGTGGTGTGGTGGTGTGGTTGGTGTGGTGTGGTGTGTGGTTGTGTGGTGTGGTGTGGTGGTGTGGTGTGTGGTGTGTGGTGTTTTGTGTGTGGTGTGGTGGTGGTGGTGTGGTTGGGGTGTGGTGTGGTGTGGTGGTGTGGTGCTGTGGTGTGGTGTGGTGTGGTGGTGTGGTGTGGTGCTGTGGTGTGGTGTGGTGCTGTGGTGTGTGTGTGGTGGGTGGTGTGTGTGGGTGTGGTGTGGGTGTGGTGTGGTGTGTGGTGTTTTTTGGTGTGTTGGTGTGGTTGTGGTTGTGGTGTGGTGGTGTGGTGTGTTGTGGTGGTGTGGTGTGGTGTGTGGTGTGTTGGTGTGTGGTGTGGTGCTGTGTGTGGTGTGGTGGTGTGGTGTGGTGTGGTGTGGTGGTGTGCAGTATATATGATATCTTAGTGTATAAACATTAATTATTTATACAGCAAAATGTAATTATTTGCAGTAAATGGTGCAGTAAAATCTGTCCGTTATTGGGAGGATTCTGTTATTGAGAATATCTCTTTGTAGAAGTCCGCTATTGAGAGGTTTTGCGGTAAGGCCTATCCGTTATTGGGAGGATTGTTTTGAAACCTATTGAGAAGTCCGCTGTTGAGAGGGTTTACTTCATTGAGAAATCCGCTATTGGGATTTACAATGGAAATAATCGTATACCATCATTAATCAAACCAGCATTAGATAAATTACTTAAGAATTAATTTAAGTTACGTTTAATTCCTTCCCAGAATTAGCTAATACATATTTATACAATGAATAAATGTGCAGAATTTATGATACATTTTATATAATTTGGGTCATTTATAATTTATCTGAGTAAATTATTTCACCAGATCAGTTAATCAGAGTACCATGGTTTGGGTCTGAGGGTAGGCGACCACAGTTTATTGTTTTGTGTTGTTGGGTTGGTTGTTGTTTTTGTTTGGTTGGTTGGGTTGGTGTTTGTTTTGTTGGTTGGCGACGTACTTTATTGATACATGTTAATCGATGCCATGGTTGGGTCTGAGTTGGCGACCAGGCCCACTTTATTGATGCAGTTAATCAAGTACCATGGTTAGGTCTGAGTTGGCGACTACGGCTATCAGTACAGTTAATCAGAGTACCATGGTTAGGTCTGAGGGTTGGCGACCACGGCCCACTTTATTGAGCGTTTTCAACATTAATAGACCATAATGGTATCTATAAACTTAAGAAAGTGTAAGTAGTTGAGATAAGTGATCAAAATTATAAGTATTAAGTATAGTTAAGTAAGTTCATACTGGTGCCGCAGTTTTAATAGGTCTCAATCTCACCTAACCTCTTCTTCCTCCAACTAATTCAATAACCTAAAATTTCTTAACTTAATCTAACCTAATCAAAACAAACAAAGACGTACACAGAAACCTAACATAAGACGTACACAAAAACTAAACAAACCACGTACACAAAACATAACCAAAAACGTACACAAAACCATAACTAAAAACGTACACAAAAACATAACAAAAGACGTACACATAAAATTTACAGGACATACACAAAAAACAAGCGTACACAAAACATAACTAAAACGTACACAAAACAAAAACACGCAAAATAACCCAGTACAAAAACAAACACGTACACAAAAACATAAACCAACGTGCATAAAACAAAGCACGCAAAACAACCTAACGTACACAAAAACAAAACACGTACACAAAACATAACCCAAAAAATGCAAAAACAAAACAAGAAGATAATGGCACAAACTCTTATCATAATAATCTAAAGTCAAATTATTTTTAGGAAATTAAATATAGAAGTTGGTGCGTGACTGTTGAGGCCGTGGTGCGATCTGGGTAGTATACATGCTCTGTGTGTCTGTGTATGTATGTGACTGTGTTTGCATATATGTGTGTATGTATGTATGTATTTTAATGTGTTTGTATATATATATGTTCCTCCGTCACATATCGGACCCTAACATAGCCAAAACTATCGGAAAAATGACAACACGCCAACGTCATCTATCCTTGTGATCAAGACCTACACTTACCCTGGTCTAGCGCACAATGAGTGATGAATAGCTTTATAAATCTAGACGCCATTACTCTCAATGCTTTAACCTATAAAAACTCTCAAACATTAATCTTTTCTTTAAATATAGATTAAGATCCGTTATTCAGAAATATATATATAAGATCAGATTTATATATACTGTATATACATTATAGAACACGTAAATAAATTAAATGTATCTAGAAATGTATATAGAACGAATAGCTTTATTACTAAATTATAAAGAACTGGTTAATTAACTCTCAGGTGACGATAATTATAATGTAAAAAAAACCTAAATGTGAAAAAATATTGTTTTTCCCTCCATTGTCTAGGACCCGTTTCAGTCAACACTAATTGGTGGTAATTTGTCAAAAAACCATCATTAGGGCATTAAGGTATTTTATTACAGAAGGCATACACCACCATGTGTTCAGGCATCAAGTCGATGAGGCATAGTTATAGTTTAGTTAGAAGTTCTGTTAAGTATACAATAGCATCACTTAATAGGTTATCGTGGCATAATTAGCTGCAGGTAATAGGTAAATTGAGGCTATAATTGGATATCTTATTAGAGGTATTTAGTAATTGGATATGTAAGCATAATATAATTTTCTGTAATAGGGCATTTAATAGGTCTTTTAAATAGGCTGAAGCATAGAAAGGAAGCGAATCAGATGAAATTGTACAGTACACAAGATAATTCCTGTTATATTTAAGACATACAAAATAATTCCTGTTATTTTAAGACATATAAAGGTAATTCCTCTTATATTTCACACTAATTACTAAATGCGATCTTATTTCTTCTCCAGGGACAGCACCATGATTGATACAGAAGGAGGCGTTCAAGAGGTGGGTGAAGGAGGTAGTAGGGTGCGTTCAAGAGGTGGGTGAAGGAGGTAGTAGGAGGCGTTCAAGAGTGGTGGTGGTTGGGGTGGGTGGGGTGGGGGTTGGGTGGGTGGGGGTGGGGTGGTTGGGTGGGTGGGTGTGGGGGTTGAGGTGGGTGAGATGGTAGTAGGTGTGTTCAGAAGGTGGGTGAAGGTAGTAGGGTGTGTTCAAGAGGTGGTGGGGGTGGTTGTGTGGGTGTGGGGGTTTGGGTGAAGGAGGTAGTGAGGTTCAAGGGTGGGTGAGGAGGTAGTAGGGTGTGTTCTGAAGTGGGGGTGGTGGGGTTGTGGTGGGGGTGGGGTTGTTGGGGGGTGTGGGTGTGTTTGTGGGGTTGGGGCGTTCAGAGGTGGGTGAAGGAGTGGTAGGGTGCGTTCAAGAGGTGGGGGTGGGGTTGGTGGGGGTGTGGGTGTGTTGGTGTTGGGGGTGTGGTGGTTGGGTGGTGTGGTGCGTTCAGGGTGGGTGAAGGAGGTGGTAGGAGGCTCAAGAGGTGTGAGAGTGGTGGGTAGAGGTGGTTCAGAGGTGCGTTCAGAGGTGTGAAGGTGTGGGAGGCGTTCAAGGGGTGTGTGGGAGGTAGAGTGTTCAAGTGTGTGAAGGAGTAGTGGGGTGTGTTCAAGTGTTGAAGGAGGTAGTAGGAGGCGTTCAGGTCAAAGTTCATGGTCTCAAGTAAGTGGATTAGTTTAGCTAGTCGAGTGGTGAGAAAATGCTGAGAATTGTTGTTTGTTTGATATATACTTTAGAAGGAAGTTATATTGATTTATCTCTCTCTCTCTCTCTCTTCTTTCTGTCTGTCTGGTTTGTCTCTTTTTTTTTTTTTTTTTTTTGTCTGTTTGTCTCTGTCCTTTCTTTCTCTCTCTCTTTCTCTTCTCTCTCTCTCTCTCTGTTTGTCTCTCTGTTCTTTTCTTTCACTGTCTCTCTCCTCCTTTTTTCTATTTATCTGTCTGTGTTTCCCTTTTTCCTCTTCTATGTCACTGTTTCTCTCCTCTTTTCTCTATCTATCTGTTTCTCTCTTTTTCTGTCCATCTGTCTCCATAATAACCTCCACCTCTCTATTCACCCTGCAGACTTAAAGAACTCCAGGAGAAGATGGTGGAGGTGAGAAGACACAAGACAACAGACTAAAAGCCAAGAGAAACAAGAGGAAAAAATATATGGAGGAGGAGAATCCTGAGTGAGGCGCTGAAGAACGTTGACGACGAAGATGGTATAATGATTAAGGTTTATGATGATATACATGAGGAACTACGAGCTAAGACTGACCTGGCTAAGAAACAGAAGGCAAGGTGAGGTGTTGTGGGGTGTGTTGTGGGTGTAGAAGGTGTTGTGGGTGTGTTGTGGTGTTGTGGATTATGAAGGTGTTGTGGGTGTAGGGGTGTGTGTGTGTAGGGAGGTGAGAGGTGCAGACTGACCTGGCTAAGGAAACAGAAGCAAAGGTGAGTGTTGTGGGGTGTGTTGTGTGTGGGTGTAGAAGGTGTTGTGGGTGTGTTGTGGGGGTGTGTTGTGTGGTTGTAGAAGGTGTTATGGGTGTGTTGTTGGGTGTGTTGTGGGTGTAAAGGTGTTGGGTGTGTTGTGGGTGTAGAAGGTGTTGTGGGTGTGTTGTTGGGTGTGTTGTGGGTTTGGGTGAGGTGGGATGTGTTGTGGGTTGAGGATGTGTGGGTGTTGTGGTGGGATGTGGGAGTGGGTGGTGGTGTGTGGGATGTGTGGGATGTGTGGCAGGTGTGGGGTGTGGGATGTGGATGTGTGGGTGGTGTGGGATGTGTGGATGGTGGAGTGGTGGGGATGTGGTGTGTGGAGTGGGTGTGGGATGTGTGGGATGTGTGTGGGTGTGGGATGTGGGATGTGTGGGGTGGGGTGTGGTGTGGGTGTGGGGTGTGGGATGTGGGATGTGTGCAGGTGGGGGTGTGTGGGATGTGTGGTGTGGTGGGGATGTGGATGTGTGGTGTGGGGTGTGGGATGTGTGGGATGTGTGTGGGTGTGGGGTGTGTGTGTGGTGTGGGGATGTGGGATGTGTGGGTGTGGGTGTGGGATGTGTGGGTGTGGGGGTGTGGGTGTGGTGTGGGATGTGTGCAGGGGTGGGGATGTGTGGGTTGTGGCAGGTGTGAGTGGGAGTGTGTGGGGTGGGTGTGTGGTGGGGTGGTGGGGTGGTTGTGGTGGGTTGGGTGGGGGATGTGTGGGATGGTGGGTGTGGTGTGGGATGTGTGGGATGTGGCAGGTGTGAGGTGTGGGATGTGTGGGTGTGTGGGATGTGGGATGTGGCAGGTGGGTGTGGTGGGATGTGTGGGATGTGTGACGGGTGTGATGTGGTGGGTATAGGATGTGTAGGATATTAGTATTATTGACAGAATCCTTTCATCAATTATTCATAAGATCAGGATGTTTAGGATGGAGAAAGATGACAGTAGTGCCACACACACACACACACACACACACACACACACACACACACACACACACACACACACACACACAATTACCCCCTCCTCTCTTTTCATCCTATATCTCTCTCTCACTCTGTCTCTCTCTCACTCTCTCTCTCTCTCTCTCATTCCAGATTAGCTCTCTAGAAAACGAGATATCAGACTTGACTTCAGAGTTCCAGGAGGAGAGATCGGATTACCTGGAGACAATAGAAAACAGGAACAACAGATCAAGCTCCTTACTGCCATCCTAGACAAGGTGAGAAGCGAGTCCTGTAGGATCTTGTGAGTCTATGTAGGATTGACGTTTTTGTAGTTTTTTTTTTGTAGGATGTTGTTTAGGTGTTCTAGGTTTGTAGGATTGATTTTTTTTGTTCGTGTGGTAATATTTTCGAGTTTTGTAGGATTTGAGTTTTTATTGTTCTAGTTTTGTAAGTTAGTGTTCTAGTCAGTGTTCTTGTTGGAGTTTTTATGTCTTGTAGGTTGGATTTGTAGTTTTGCTAGAATTTATAGTTTTTGTAGGATTTGGTTTTTTATGTGTTCTAATTTTTAGGTTTAAGTGTTCTAGTACAGTGTTCTTGTGGGTTGGGTTTTATAGTTTGATTTTTTAGATCATCGTGACTAAATATTCTTGTAGAGATAAAGTTTTTTAAAGTTGTCTAATATTTTAGTTGTGTATTCTTGTATTTGTGTATTTTGTAGTTTTCTGGGTAAACAAGATTTACAGTAAACTACAGGAGTTACAAATATCCTAGGCTATTCTTTGAGCTACAGACCTGAAGGGTATCTGTAGCAACAGGGAATAATTAAGAGATCTAGACAGCACAGGCTCTGCAGGTTCAGCCCACCATCAGGAGACACCTCAGTAACCTAACCTCTCCCTCCTGGGTTCAGCCCACCATTAGGGGACACTACAGTAACTATTTATCTCCTCCTACAGGTTCAGCCCACCATCAGGAGACACCTCAGTAACCTAACCTCTCCTCCTACAGGTTCAGCCCACCTCAGGAACACCTACAGTAACCCAACCTCTCCCTCCTAGGGTTCAGCCCACCATTAGGAGCACCTACAGTAACCTCCTCTCTCCCCTACAGGTTCAGCCCATCAGGGGAGCACCTACAGTAACTAACCTCTCCCTCCTACAGGTTCAGCCCATTAGAGACACCTCACAGTAACCTTCCTCTCCCTCCTACAGGTTCACCCACCATTAGGGAGACACCTACAGTAACTAACCTCTCCCTCCTAAGTTCAGCCCATCAGAACACCTACAGTAACCTAACCTCTCCCTCCTACAGGTTCAGCCCACCATCAGGAGACACCTACAGTAACCTAACCTCTCCCTCCTACAGGTTCAGCCCACCATCAGGAGACACCTACAGTAACTTAACCTCTCCCTCCTACAGGTTCAGCCCACCATCAGGAGACACCTACAGTAACCTAACCTCTCCCTCCTACAGGTTCAGCCCACCATCAGGAGACACCTACAGTAACCTAACCTCTCCCTCCTACAGGTTCAGCCCACCATCAGGAGACACCTACAGTAACCTAACCTCTCCCTCCTACAGGTTCAGCCCACCATCAGGAGACACTCTACAGTAATCCTAACCCTCTCCTCCTACAGGTTCAGCCCACCATCAGGAGACACCTACAGTAACCCAACCTCTCCCTCCTACAGGTTCAGCCCACCATCAGGAGACACCTACAGTAACCTAACCTCTCCCTCCTACAGGTTCAGCCCACCATCAGGAGACACCTACAGTAACCTAACCTCTCCCTCCTACAGGTTCAGCCCACCATCAGGAGACACCTACAGTAACCTAACCTCTCCCTCCTACAGGTTCAGCCCACCATCAGGAGACACCTACAGTAACCTAACCTCTCCCTCCTACAGGTTCAGCCCACCATCAGGAGACACCTACAGTAACCTAACCTCTCCCTCCTACAGGTTCAGCCCACCATCAGGAGACACCTACAGTAACCTAACCTCTCCCTCCTACAGGTTCAGCCCACCATCAGGAGAGATTGTAACTACAGTAACGTAGACGCGATAAAGAAGGAGGCGGTGTGGGAGGACGAGTACCAAAGATGGAAGGTGCCGGACCTGGTGCTGATCAAGACTAAACTTCCTCCTGCTGGTACGTGTGGCGCTGAGCCCTCTCTACTGTGGGTAATTTGTTGTGGTTAACTTACTGAGGTTAATTTGCTGTGGTTAACTTGTTGTGGTTAACTTACTGAGGTTAATTTGTTGTGGTTAATTACTGTGTGATTAATTACTGAGGTTAATTTGCTGTGGTTAACTTGTTGTGGTTAACTTACTGAGGTTAATTTGCTGTGGTTAATTACTGTGTGATTAATTACTGTGTGATTAATTACTGAGGTTAATTACTGTGGTTAATTTGTTGTGGTTAACTTACTGTGGTTAATTGAGTGTATTTAATTTACTTCAGGTTAATTTACTGCGATTAATTACTATGGCTAATTTGCTGCTGATAACTAACTGTGCTTGTCAACTCTGATTAAATTACTGTAGTACTGCAATTAATTTCACAAGGCTAATTAACTACGCTTAAATTACTGTGGTTAATATACAGTAGTTACTATAATTAATTATTATTATTTTTTACTATATCTACATTATAATTATATCCACCTTTTATAAATTAGGGAATGAAATGTATTAGTAATTATCTCAATACTAATTACAGGTATTATATATGACAGTAGCTTAATTAATGTATAAAACTACATAAGGGAATTGATCTCAATGTAAACAACAATATTACCAACTTTAACTATCTAATTAAACTTGGCTACACTGATAACACAAAACAGGTTAGGTTAGGTTAGATTAGATTAGGTTAGATTAGGTTAGGTTAGGTTAGATTAGGATAGGTTAGGTTAGGTTAGGATAGGTTAGGTTAGATTAGGATAAGTTTGGTTAGGTTAGGTTTTTTTATATCAGATATACCTGCAGTAATAAGGAACAGTAATAAGGAAGGTACACGGGAGTTTGGTCATGTTTACACTGAGATGCTGTGAGTCGTCATGGAGTTTGGGGGTAGGGGTGGGGGGTGGGGGGGGGGGTAGGGGGGTGGTAGGGGGTAGGGGTGGGGGTGGGGTGGAGGTAGGGGGGGGGTAGGGGTGGAGGTAGGGGTGGAGGTAGGGGTGGGGGTAGGGGGTGGGGGTAGGGGTGGGGGTAGGGGTGGAGGTAGGGGTGGGGGGTAGGGGTGAAGGTAGGGGGTGGGAGGTAGGTTAGGTTAGGTTAGGTTAGGTTAGGTTAGGTTAGGTTAGGTCCTGTCTTGTCCATTGACCAGGTGATGTGTGTGTGTGTGTGTGTGTGTGTGTGTGTGTGTGTGTGTGACCCCAAGAGGTAGCCGTATAGGACACTGTACCATTAAGCTACACTACAATAGCCGTATAGGACACTGTACCATTAAGCTACACTACAATAGGTGTACACTATATACCTGTGTCTCGGTACATGAGTAGTTCCCCCAGGCCAGACTCCACCTCCGACTGAACACTTGCTGGTGAACTGTCGCCATAACACACGGGTTAAATTATCATATCTAAGTTAAGGTGTTATTGACGTGAAATGATTTTGAACATTACAAAGGATCTCTAATGGGTTCATCAGCAACTGTTCGGGCGGTACAGTGGTGGTCTTGTAAGGGGGGTACTGTATCCTCGGGTACAGTGGAGTGAGAGGTGTTGTATCTTCGGGTACAGTGGGGTGCCCAGACCTCACGGTAGATATTGTGTAGTGTAAGACTCCCACGGTAGTCACAACTGTGTCCTGGTGTTAGTTAAGTGTCGCATCGTGGTGCTCGGCCGTAGAGGAGACACCCGTGTAGCTACTGACTACACGTTGCCCGAACTACCACTTTTAATATTTGCTTTATTCCCGAAGGATGTTACTCTGATAGTACTTGGAGGTGATAGAGAGTTGGTTGGATACTGAGGCAGGTCAGGGAGGCCGTGTGAGGTCCTCAGCATGTCTGTAACCGGGACCTCGCCTGCACGGGAACTACTGTACACTCATATAACAAACACATACAAATTTAATCATCAATAGGCAGGCAAATCATCACATACCATACCTAAAATATCTGAAACTTGAATCATTTTATATTAAGATGAAGTCAATAGTCGGAGATGCACCAATAGCCAGTCTTCATACAGTAGTTTAATAGTAAGAAATGTTCCCGTGCAGTACCTAGCGCCTCCCCCTGCACCCCCAGCCTCTTACAGCCCGTATCTTACTTCATCTCTCGTGTCTGGACCCGAGTTCTCTAAGGTTCTCCCGTCGAGTTTCTTCACGTTTGTTCATGTTTACGAGTGTTTATATTTACGTTTGTTCATGTTTACGTTTTGTTCATTTCTGTGTCGTATATTAAGACAGCCAGATGGAGGTGGTGCCACGGAAGGACCTTAGAGGACCTGGACCATAGTCGTGTATTACTCCGCCGTGATCGCTCGTGCCCGCACCTCTGAAGGAGAAGAACCAACCTGCTTCTTCTCCCTGTTTCAATACTGAGAGTCGCAGCAGTTGTCATCCGTCACGACATACACAAGACAGTGACAAAACAAAAAAACGAAATAACTAAGGAATTGGATAGTATATAAGACGAGTAGATTAAAAAAAAAAACTTTAAAATGTTTAACTAACTCGAGACATCATCATTACAAAGGTGTACCGGTAACATATATTTTCCCCAGTAAACTTGTCTCACTCACAGTCTCACGCCTCACCTCAATACTGTGGTTGTGGCCTCCCTCTGGTTAAGTCACCCCCAGGAGCTACCTACCACACAACCTGCAGGAGTTAACCACGATCATACAGGAGTTAACAGGATTATACACCACATGAACCATACAGTTACTTATTACGTATGACATATGGTGACGCCAAACAGCAGAATCAAAACAAGAACATGAGGGTGGGAGGAGAGGTACACACGTTCATGAGGATGTGAGGAGAGGTACACACGTTCATGAGGGTGGGAGGAGAGGTACACACACGTTCATGAGGGTGGGAGGAGAGGTACACACGTTCATGAGGGTGTGAGGAGAGGTACACACGTTCATGCGGGTGTGAGGAGAGGTACACAGGTTCATGAGGGTGTGAGGAGAGGTACACACGTTCATGAGGGTGGGAGGAGAGGTACACACGTTCATGAGGGTGTGAGGAGAGGTACACACGTTCATGAGGGTGTGAGTAGAGGTACACACGTTCATGGCGGTGTGAGAAGAGGTACACACGTTCATGACGGTGTGAGAAGAGGTACACACGTTCATGACGGTGTGAGGAGAGGTATACACGTTCCAACTTAACTCTTTGAGGATGAAGCTTCAAGATTTCCTCCTCACTGAGGTAAAATCATCGCTCTTAATAGGGCAAATCATCGTCCTTAATAGGTTAAACCACCGTCCTTAATAGGTTAATCCACCGTCCTTAATAGGTTAATCCACCGTCCTTAATAGGGCAAACCATCGTCCTTAATAGGTTAAACCATCGCCATTAATAGGTTAAACCATCGTCCTCAAAATTTTAAATGATCGTTCTCGAAGGATTGAGTCATCGTCTTTAAGTGGGTTAATATAACAAAGGTTGTTAACACGAGCGGTACATGAGAGTGTGAGGTGAGGTGCGGGCTGAGGCGTCACGCGGCTGTGTTCCTCAATGATACAGTGTTCTGGAGGCGGAGATACACCCGTCCCTGTGTCCTCCACACTCTTGCTAGGGGCGGTACTGAGCCCATCTATTTTACCTACACTTACCACCCTTGCCAATGATAACAACTCCTCCAGGTACTCACCCTAGACTTTACCTTGCCAGTGGCAGTACTTTCCTGTTCCTCCACCTCCTCCCCTCCCTACACTCGGGCAGTTTCACCTCAACACTCGTATAATTTGTGAACACGGCCTAGTGCACTCTCTCCCCCGCTCGTTTGTTCCGCGCATGTTGCCTCTCATCTTGCAACTTGCAGGGCCCACCGGCACGCTGACTCAGTCTGACTTCCTCAACAACAAGTACAACGATAATAACAACCACAGCAACAGCTTCAACAGCAGCAACAACAGCAGCTACTCCCCCCCTAATCGCATCCAGCCTGGTGGCCGCTTCCCCTCCCAGACTGCGCCTGCCAGGCTGGGCATGTGGGACGATGACAACGATGACAAGATCCTTAAGGTTCCGTCACTTAGTGCATGACGCTGTTATAGTTAATGCACTGCATGACGCAGCACTCGTGGTAGAATAACAGAACATCTGAGTCTGTGCTGATAACTCACTGGCCGCCACCACTGAAAACTGGCACAGCTTATGAGAGAAAACGTTCCTCTTATGTGTGTTATTGACTCCTACACCAGCTGTCACCTACCTGCCTGTCGCACCTTGCATGACGCCTCTCACTTCCCTCTCCCGAACACGTCATTCACGCCTTTCATCCTCCCCTTCAGGAGGCGGTGGTCCTGATAAACCAGTCCCTTTGTTCCTGTAATCACTGAAGCTTCTCCCCTCTTGTCATTATTTTCTCTCAAGACAGGAAGGGTACAGTACTTTGCTTGTGACAAGGAGGTGATGTATGGAACCATGAGTGCCAGGTGAGTGTCGTGTGTGTAGGGGTGGCACTACCTCCATCACCACCCGGGCTGGAGGTTAGGTGAGCTCTAGAGGCCGTGGTGAATGATCCTGGTATGTACTTAGGTGAAAGACTCACAAGGACATAATCCTTGGGCTATGGTGTCCTGCAGGAATCCAGCCAGGAGTCCGCACCCGCCAAGGTCCTCCCAGCGCTCGTGTGGGCGGGTGGGCGGCTGCTCTCCCTGGCAGTGACCCGCCCACGCCCCCAGAAGACACCCTGGAGGAGGAGCTGTTGAACCTGGACAGCGAACCGGACGATCCCTTCCTACAGGTCGATTGCATGAAGACAGTTTTGACTCCCCGTTGGGGTTCACTAAATACCCGGACCCGACCCTCGAACCCGGACCCTCGACTAACCTATCTGAATATAACGTAATCTCTCCTTAACACCACATAATATAACCTAGCTAATCCTAACTTAACTTAACCTAACTTAAGCTATTAACCCCAAGCTTAACTTAACCTCACCTAATTTAGCCACCTAACTAAACTTAAACGAACGTAACTTACCTTAACTTAACCTAACCTATAAACTAAATTCAGTACACAATAATACAAATCCGGTTTCTGGTTTAGGTCCGGGATTTTAGTTCAACCCCCCCGTTATCCTTATTCATCTCTCCCCCTCCTTCCCCTTCCCCTCCCTGTCGACAACTTCCCCTCCCTCCTTTCCCGCTACTGTCGTCATTGCCTTTCCCACAGAATATCGTACACTATCTATTGTAAGGAACTGTTTATTGTAATGAATAACCCCTAACAATATTACACACAGCTACTCTATCTATAAACACATAATTACTGTATTTTATAGGAGTAGCAGATACAATAAGTAACAATACATTAACTCTTGGGAAAAATGGACGTTAGTGAGTGATATAATACCTTCGTGAGTATCGTAAGTGGTGTTGAAGACGACTGTGTCTTACAAGATGTTGGTTTAGATCTCTTATACGATTGTCTTTTGTTATAGTTTATCATGTTGGTGTCTTAGATTCAGGTACTTATACTTCCTAGGTCATTGAAGAAACGTCATAGTTGTTGATATTTTTTTCCCCTATAGATAATAATAATTCTCTAGGTTAATAATTCATAATTAAAAGTTATTGATACCCTAATCGTCACCTCACACACCTCTCCAGCACCTTAATTTAGCACAGGTGACCGGCAGTTCAGTGTTGCCGAATTATTTCAGGTTTATAAACTCATTAGTCGCCTGTTGTCTGATCTTCTCTCCTCCCTCACTAATTAATTTATAATCCTGGTGTTCCTGGTCAGGTGAGTCCAGGTAAGGGGAGGGATAGTGGGTGTTGATATGGCCCAGGTGGTTGATGACATGGCCCAGGTGGTTGATGACATGGCCCAGGTGGTTGATGACATGGGGTGACTCGCTTTCATAGCACACACACACACACACACACACACACACACACACACACACACACACACACACACACACACTTCAATCCTTCGTCGTCTTTCTCCCCACTTCCTTCACTTCTTTCTTCCCTCTTTGGCCTTTAAATTTTTCACCCTTCCCCTTCTCCATATATATCAGTCTTCCCTTCTTCCCTATCTTCGTTATCTCTCTCTCTCTCTCTCTGCCTATTTTTTCCCTCGTATTCTTCCTGTTCTAAGGGTCGCTGGTTCAATCCCGAGGCACTCCCAGGTCACCCAGCTGTCCATGGTGCCTGATTTCACAGTTGGGGAGGTGAAACGGCTGTCAGGTGCAGTGTCGGCTATGCTATGCTATCTCTTAGGGTTTATAGTGTGTTTTAACCACCGTTGTCCCTGTTATGTATAAACCTTCATCTTGTGGGATTTTGGGTTTAATTTACGAGTTTTACTGTTTTTTAAAGTTTTATTCTGGTTTTTGTGAGTTTTTTTTTAGCTTTGGGGCTCATTGGTTTTAATTTTTTGGGGGGTTAGGTTTAGGTTTTCTAGCTTTGTTGAGCTGTGTTGGGTTTATATTTTATGTGGTTTATATGTGGTTTATTTTTTTTTTCTCTCGGATTTATTTTGTCTGTAATTCTTGGATTTTTTCATGTTTATATTTTTCTTTCGGTTGTTTATTTTAGCTGTAAGTTGAAGCAATGTAGGTGTTGAGTTTAGCTGGTGGAGGACATATTGGTATCATCTGTTCAAGTTTTAGCTTTTAAATTATACTTCAAATTAAATTCAGCTGTGAAGTCAAGTTGATCTGTTATCATTTTCATTTAGCTTATAGCTATAACACAGCTTTTGACCAGGCAGGTCATGTACGTGGCGATGCCTGTCAAGTGCACGTATCAGATGTACGTATGGAGTGCACGAGACGATACTCTTAATAGGTGCACGTAATATCGCCTGCATACATACCTGGTACAGCGGCTGGGTGGATTTTGTGAGAATTGGCAACAGTGTGTTTGTTGACCTCGTAGTATATTAAGGTGGATGGGCATGTTTGGCTACAGGGATCCATGTGCAGGGGTAGGAATACCAGGTTTGTCCTGACTGTGAAGTAATGCTGACGTGCTCTGCCATGTATTGACTAATGTTTGCCATGTCGGATTTTGACCTTCATGGATTGATCATACTGTTGACCTGAGAAGAGAGGGAGAGTCTATGATCCCTGTAATTACTATTATGTTCCAACATGATGTAGAGGTAGCCACATATCCCAACAGAGAAAGTTTGTAGTTGTGGTCTATGAACTAGTCGGTACATTAAAAGATATATAATCAACGAGAGTATACATAGAAAAGCCGATAATTAAAACACAGACATTGTGATATCATATTGGCGAAAATATTGTATGAAAAAAATTGATAAAAAAGGTTCCACATATAACAGTAGGAAGCTCGACTTTACTTCTGTCATGATAATAAACAAAATATTTTCATACTTCAGCTACCTAGCGTCTCTTAGTATAGTTCACTTGACGAGGTGATTCCTAATGATGACCAATGATCATGACTGTACCCCGGCCCTACCTAGCCCCGTCCCTACCTAGTCCGCCTCGCCCCGGCCCTACCTAGCCCGCCTTGCCCTAGCCCTACCTAGCCCGCCTCGCCCTAGCCCCCACACCACCTGTCTCTGTAAAATATTACCTCCGCCCACAGGGGAAATTGCATTGTCTCTTATGAGTACAATATTATACATAATATAAGCAATATATTATGTTAACATACGTAAACAGATAACATTTCTCCTCCTCCCCAAACGACCTCCAGCGACTCAAGGTTTCACAAAAGACCGTATTGACTACATAACACACCCACCGTCCATCAGATAGAGGGCAATGACGTTATAGTTGGCAGCCTGAACGTGAACAGTAACCAGCAGGAACTAACAGCAGACATAGACCAGCAGGAACTAACAGCAGACATAGACCAGCAGGAACTAACAGCAGACATAGACCAACAGGAACTAACAGGAGACATAGACCAGCAGGAACTAACAGCAGACATAGACCAGCAGGAACTAACAGCAGACATAGACCAGCAGGAACTAACAGCAGACATAGACCAACAGGAACTAACAGGAGACATAGACCAGCAGGAACTAACAGCAGACATAGACCAGCAGGAACTAACAGCAGACATAGACCAGCAGGAACCAACAGACATAGACCAACAGGAACTAACAGGAGACATAGACCAGCAGGAACTAACAGCAGACATGACCAGCAGGAACTAACAGCAGACATAGACCAACAGGAACCAACAGCAGACATAGACCAGCAGGAACTAACAGTAGACATAGACCAGTAGGAACCAACAGCAGACATAGACCAGTAGGAACTAACAGCAGACACTAGACCAGCAGACATAGACCAGCAGGAACTAACAGCAGACATAGACCAACAGGAACTAACAGGAGACATAGACCAGCAGGAACTAACAGAGACATAGACCAGCAGGAACTAACAGACATAGACCAGCAGGAACTAACAGCAGACATAGACCAGCAGGAACTAACAGCAGACATAGACCAGCAGGAATAACAGAGACATAGACACAGGAACTAACAGTAGACATAGACCAGTAGGAACTAACAGTAGACATAGACCAGCAGGAACTAACAGTAGACATAGACCAGTAGGAACTAACAGCAGACATAGACCAGTAGGAACTAACAAAGACATAGACCAGTAGGAACTAACAGCAGACATAGACCAGCAGGAACTAACAGTAGACATAATCAGCAGAAACCAACAGCAGACATAGACCAGTAGGAACTAACAGCAGACATAGACCAGCAGGAACTAACAGCAGACATAGACCAGTAGGAACTAACAGCAGACATAGTTCAGTAGGAACCAACAGCACATTACAGACCAGCAGGAACTACAATACAGACATAGACCAAAAGTAGGAACCAATACAGACATAGACCAGTAGGAACTAACAGCAGATGAGCAGACCAGTAGGAACTAACAGCAGACATAGACCCAGCAGGAACTAACAGTAGACATATAGACCAGTAGGAACTAACAGCAGACATATAGACCAGTAGGAACTAACAGCAGACATATAGACCAGCAGGAACTAACAGTAGACATAGACCAGCAGGAACTAACAGTAGACATAGACCAGTAGGAACTAACAGCAGACATAGACCAGTAGGAACTAACAGCAGACATAGACCAGCAGGAACTAACAGTAGACATAGACCAGTAGGAACTAACAGCAGACATAGACCAGCAGGAACTAACAGCAGACATAGACCAGTAGGAACTAACAGCAGACATAGACCAGTAGGAACTAACAGTAGACATAGACCAGTAGGAACTAACAGTAGACATAGACCAGTAGGAACTAACAGCAGACATAGACCAGTAGGAACTAACAGTAGACATAGACCAGTAGGAACTAACAGCAGACATAGACCAGTAGGAACTAACAGTAGACATAGACCAGTAGGAACTAACAGCAGACATAGACCAGTAAAAGGAACTAACAGTAGACATAGACCAGCAGGAACTAACAGCAGACATAGACAGTAAAGACTAACAACCAGACATAAGACTGTTCAAGAACTAACAGCAGACGCATAGACCAATGCAAGAACTATCAGCAGACCTTAGACCGAAAGTAGGAACTAACAGCAGACATAGACAGTAGGAACTAACAGCAGACATAGACCAGCAGGAACTAACAGCAGACATAGACCAGCAGGAACAACAATGAGCCCATAGTTGGCAGACTAGCAGTAGACATAGACCAGTAGGAACTAACAGCAGACATAGACCAACAGGAACAACAGCAGACATAGACCAGCAGCAGGGCTTAACAGTAGACATAGACCAGCAGGAACTAACAGTAGACATAGACCCTTGGGAACTAACAGCGAAGACATAGACCAGCAGGAACTAACAGTAGACATAGACCAGCAGGAACTAACAGCAGACATAGACCAGCAAGGAACTAACAGCAGACATAGACCAGCAAGGAACTAACAGTGAACATAGACCAGCAGGAACTAACAGTGAACATGAACCAGCAGGAACTAACAATGGAGCATAGACCAGCAGGAACTAACATTAGACATAGACCAGTAGGAACTAACTTAGCAGACATAGACCAACAGGAACTAACAGCAGACATAGACCAGCAGGAACTAACAATGGAACATGACCAGCAGGAACTAACAGTAGACATAGACCAGTAAGACTATCAGCAGACATAGACCAGTAGGAACTAACAGCAGACATAGACCAGCAGGAAAGGAACTAACAGTAAGACATAGACCAGCAGGAACTAACAGTAGACATATAGACCAGCTAGGAACAACAGTAGACATAGACCAGCAGGAACTAACAGCAGACATAGACCAGCAGGAACTAACAGTAGACATAGACCAGCAGGAACTAACAGTAGACATAGACCAGTAAAAGGAACTAACAGTAGACATAGACCAGCTTGAACTAACAGCAGACATGAACCAAAAGCAAAGGAACTAACAGTAGACATAGACCAGTAGGAACTAACAGTAGACATAGACCAGCAGGAACTAACAGCAGACACAGAATAGCAAGACTAACAGCAGACATAGACCAGCAGGAACTAACAGCAGACATAGACCAGCAGGGACTAACAGTAGACATAGATAGCAAGGGAACTAACAGTAGACATAGACCAGCAGGAACTAACAGCAGACCTCCCAGACCAGTAGGAACTAACAGTAGACATAGACCAGCAGGAACTAACAGCAGACATAGACCCTTGGGAGGAACTAACAGCAGACATAGACCAGCAGGAACTAACAGTAGACATAGACCAGCAGGAACTAACAGTAGACATAGACCAGTAGGAACTGTGGCAGACATAGACCAGCAGGAACTAACAGTAGACATAGACCAAGCAGGAACTAACATGAACGCCAGACCGGCAAAGACTAACAGCAGACCTTAGACCAGTAGGAACTAACAGTAGACATAGACAAAGTAGGAACTAACAGCAGACATGAGACCAGCAGGAACTAACAGCAGACATAGACCATAAAGGGCATTAGACATAGACCAGTACAGGAACTAACAGTGAACCTTGGTAGCAGGAACTAACAGCAGACATAGACCAGTAGGGAACTAACAGTAGACATAGACCAGCAGAACTAACAGCAGACATGAACCAGTAAAGGAACTAACAGTAGACATAGACCAAGCAGGAACTAACAGCAGACACTAGACCAGTAAAGGAACTAACAGTAGACATAGACCAGTGGAACTAACAGTAGACGCTTATAGACCAGCGGAACTAACAGCAGACATGAACCAGTAGGAACTAACAGTAGACATAGACCAGCAGGAACTAACAGCGACTAGACCAGCAGGAACTAACAGTAGACATGAAGCCAGTAGGAACTAACAGTAGACATAGACCAGCAGGAACTAACAGCAGACATGAATTCAGCAGGAACAACAAAGTGAACATAGACCAGTAAAGGAACTAACAACGAACATATAGACCAGCAGGAACTAACAGCAGACATAGACCAGTACAAGGAACTAACATTAAGACATAGACCAGCAGAGAACTAACAGCAGACATAGACCAGCAAGGAACTAACAGTAGACATAGACCATGAGGAACTAACAGTAGACATAGACCAGCAGGAACTAACAGTAGACATAAGAATGTAGGAACTAACAGTAGACATAGACCAGCAGGAACTAGGCTGAACATAGACCAGCAGGAACTAACAGCAGACATAGACCAGCA